GAGATATGGCGTTTAATCAAAATAGTATAATCCATTGAAGCCCAAATATTAGCCATAAAAAAATACGATATATATTTCATGGTGCGATAGAAAATTTTAAACAGTTTGGTACTGCACTTGCTCTACTGATAAATACTTCTACTTCAAGCCTAACTTCAAAAATGACTGGGTTTCTATACTCTAGCTATAACGACTCAATCACAAGGTAACCCACTATAAGATGATGTAATTAAAAGTATGGGATTAAGCTTTAACTCCCACTTACCAAAGCAACAATTCTGAAACCATAAATATAGCAGCTGCTTCACAGTAGATTGACTTGGGACTAGGGCTGCTTCGGCCAAGCCCCAGGCAGCCGCGGCCAGTTTGTAGCTCTGAGCCACTCGTGTTAAAGATTAATTCAAAAATAATTAAATATTAGCTATTTCCGTTTTAGCTGCAGCAGCCCAAAGCCGAAAGCTAGCCGGGGTTGAGCTGAAGCATCCCTACTTGGGACTAAGGCTGGGACGGTCAAATCAACAAGCGTAGTGTGGTGGGCGGGATGCCAAAAGAACAAAGTTGAGCTACGCCCGATTTGCCCTTTTACGGCATCCTGCCTAGGTACGCGTCCAGGTATCCTAATTGAGTCACACTTTTTGTTTATTTAAATAAGTGGCCTTTTAAAACTATTTTCTTAAACTATAGTTGGTAAAAGGAAAGATGTGTCTGGCAGCCTGCTGATATGTATTTCTAGCCTATAGCTGGTAAAAGGAAAGATGTGCAGGCAGGCTGCCAAAAGAGCAAAGCTGTGCTACGCTCAGCTTCACTCTTTTATGGCAGCCTGCTAGAACATGATTCCAGTTATAGCTGGTTAAAGCAAAGATGTGTGGGCTGGCTGCCAAAAGAGCAAAGCTGTGCTACACTCAGCTTCACTCTTTTACAGTAGCCTGCTGATATGTGTTTCCAGTTATAGCTGGTAAAAAGCATTTAACAATGGCTGCCTGCTGGTATGTATTTCTAGTCTATAGCTGGTAAAAGGAAAGATGTGCAGGCTGGCTGCCAAAAGAGCAAAGCTGTGCTACACTCAGCTTCACTCTTTTACGGCAGCTCGCTGGTATGCGTTTCTAGTCTGTAGCTGTTAAAAAGTGTTTAATTATGGCTGCCTTCTGGTATACCTTTCTAGTCTATAGATGGTAAAAGAAAAGATGTGTCAGGCTGGCTGCCAAAAGAGCAAAGCTGTGCTACGCTCAGCTTCACTCTTTTATGGCAGCCTGCTAGAACATGATTCCAGTTATAGCTGGTTAAAGCAAAGATGTGTGGGCTGGCTGCCAAAAGAGCAAAGCTGTGCTACACTCAGCTTCACTCTTTTACGGCAGCTCGCTGGTATGCGTTTCTAGTCTGTAGCTGTTAAAAAGTGTTTAATTATGGCTGCCTTCTGGTATACCTTTCTAGTCTATAGATGGTAAAAGAAAAGATGTGTCAGGCTGGCTGCCAAAAGAGCAAAGCTGTGCTACGATCAGCTTCACTCTTTTACAGCAGCCTGCTGATAGGTGTTTCTAGTCTATAGCTGGTAAAAGAAAAGATGTGCAGGCAGGCTACCAAAAGAGCAAAGCTGTGCTACACTCAGCTTCACTCTTTTACGGCAGCCCGCTGGTATGTGTTTCCAGTTATAGCTGGTAAATACTATGATCAAAGAGAGGTTTGAGGTTATATTTTTTGGAGTTCAAACTTTTTGGCTTTTTAATGATCTTTATCATAAATCTTTTTAGTGAAACCCCAGGGGTGATGGAAACCTGCTAGTATGCGTTCCTGGTCTCATACCTAGTAAAAAGCTGTTAAAAGATGCAGCCTCCTTATGGTTTCTTGGTAAAAATTATTTAGATTTGTTAATAAAAAACATCAGAAATCAATGAGTGTATAAAGTTGAGCAATGAGCAGGCTACCAAAAGAAAAAAGCTATGCTAACTCAGCTCTATTATTCACAGCTTCACATTGTTATTTTTTTCTTTTTTTCTAGCAGAAATACTTTTTTGGTAGTTCAGTAGGTCTTTTTTAAATTTATTTACTATTCTGGTTGTTAAAAGATGATTTAATGATATCTAAAGCAATTTTTTTAATATAAAAATGATAACTTTATTATGATTGCTACTTTTAATTAGAGAAGTATAGGTGTATGCTTTGTAAATCTCTATTATACTTTTATCAAGGCTTTATTAGAGGTCTATAACTTTTATTATGCTTATTTTTGACATTTAAGAGAATGAAGATTAATTAAAGTACTTTTAAGAGATTTTGAGATACACAGACAAACCCAAACATATAACACCAAGTTTTCTCACATAAAAAATCAACAATTTAAACATGTTAACAATAAAATTAGCCCACTTAAGATTTATTTTGTGCATAACTTCTGTGTTAAGCACTTGGTTTTGGTTATCTATCTCAACAGCTCTGAAAAGTACTGAATTTTTTATCCACATAATGAAACTGCAGCCCTTTTAGATTCTTTATTTTCAGTATATATTTTGAACTCCAATGGAAATTTTAATTTCCCAAATTAATAAAGATCAAGTACATGTTATAAAAATCTCTTTGGTTCCTGAACTTTATTTTGTAGTTTATAGGCTTAATATATTCTTTTTGCAGCACACTTTTTTTACTAAGATTTAGTCTTTATTTGTTGGTGACTGCATATTTTATTGATAACATATTGATCTTAATTTAATTTTTAAATATAAGTTAAATTCTATGTGGTACTTTGATTTTTGATATCCTTATTTCCTATTTTTGATAAGATAGTGTCTGATTTTATAGATCTTTTTAGTTATCTAATATGATGTTATTTCAGCTTCATAACATTTGATTTGCTTTTTATTTTATTTTATTTATGTGGGTTCAGTACCCTCTGGTAAGTTATATTGCTTTTGATTTTAGTAAAATCATAAAATGAAACTACTATAATATGGTCTAAACTTGATTATTTATGAATTTCTAATAGATTTTTGTTATCTCAGAAAATTAATTATTTATAGTGGTCTTCTAAAAGAGGAACCCTCTAATTTTATGAGCAGAAGAAGGTTAAACAGTCTATAGTAGCTATTATATATGTCATATTAATTAGTTTATGTGGTGCTGGAGTTTTGCAGATGAGGGTAAGTAAAATTATTATAAATGTTCTATTTGTGTGAAAAAGATTTTAAGGAGAACAGGACTTTTTTCACAGTTAGCCAAAACTTGACTATAATCATTAAAATATGAAGATTAATTAAAAGTTTAATAAGCAAATTATAATTGCTTGGGTGAGAACTTAAAACTAAGTAGCTTTAAAATATAACTTTTAATATTAATTAATCATGTAAAAATAAGACATAACTTGATATTCATAGATATATAGAATAAAAGTTTAAAGGAAGTCAAAGAGATTACCTTAATGGTAAAAAGTTGAATTTGGGTAAAAAAGAGCTAGTTGGATCAAAAAACTAAATTGGGGAAAAAGATTTTTTGTTAAAATATCTGTTTAATCTAAAAAACTTACCCAACCCTGGATCTGCTGTAGGCAGAAATATGGGGCTTGAAATTAAGGTTAGTAAAAATTAGTGAAAAATGACTTACCAACCCCAAAATCTGCTGCATGGGGAAAGTTTGTGGGTTTTTTAAAAAAAGGTTAGTAATTTATCAAAAAGCTTACCTGGCCCAAAATTGCTTTGGAATAAAAATCTGGGAGTCCCTAATCAAGTTTTGTAAATTTAGAAAAAATGGCTTACCTAAATCAAGATCTGCTTGTGGGCAAAAGTCTGGTTTTTTTTAATCTAGGCTGGTAATTTAGTGAAAAAAAACTTACCACCCTAAGATCTACTGTAGAAAAGTCTATCTAAAAGGATTGAAGGTTGGTAGTTAATTAGGAAATGGTTAACTGATGATATGCAGCTTTAATTTAAAAAGATTTGAGAAACAAAACAACTTATCAAGCCTTAATCTACTTCAGGGCATAAATCTGGTTCTAAAATCTAGGTTAGTAAAATTGATTTGCTAAAAATGAATTACCCACCCCAAGATTTGCTATGGACCAAGCTCATCTAAAAGGATTTGAAGAAGGTTAGTAAATTTAATGTAAAGCCTACCTGAAATGCAGAATCAACTTGAATTTTGAATTGAATTAGTTTTTTTAGAATTATTAACTTTAAAAAGCAAAGTTAACTTCAAAACTTTTAAAACTAAGCTTACCTTTTAATATTCTTGATCCACTATGCTTAAAACAGTTAGTATTATATGTATATTTCGAAGCTTACCTTTGATTTGAAGTGAATCTATAGAAGTTAAAGTTAAAAAGTTAATATTGTGTTTAGTGAAGGCTTTCCTTGGCTTAGTAAATCTAATCTTATCTGTTTGGCAGAGAAATAGATGGGATTGACCAATAATAGTTGATGAAAGCATTCTAAGCTCCAATCATTATTAGTAAAGTTTTATATCATTTTTGACTCTCTTACCTTTTAGGCAGACAGGACTAAATTAAGTCCACTCAATATATTTTTTCTTTTATTGACACTGCCACAGGTAGGGAGGCTGTGAGACACTTCAAAGTGTCTAACAACCCCTTCAAGCAGCAGCATTATCCAGCAAACCAAACTGAAATTTAAGCATTTTTTATTTGTTGTCAGCCACTATCGAACTTAAAAATAGGCAAGTTCTTCTGATTAAAACATATGTAAATAATTTCTCCTACAACTCAAGCAGTTATATATGAGATTGTGTGCTTACAAAGTCACAGGCCCGTTTTTTAGCATGATTTGGATTAGGTCACATAATAATCAGTGTGGATTTGTGTCACAGCTTCTGGAGCGGTGTGGTGCCGGATTTGAATCCGCTGTTGCGGTAAACGCATTTGAACGACTGTTATTCAAAATCTGCAAATCCCCAAATTTCCCTTTAAATAGTTGAATCACGCAAATAAAGTTTCATCTCTTGGTTGATTAATTATTACCAATTTTACATATTTTTTGTTCACCACAACAAAATTTTGGAGGTCATACCAAGGATCAAACTTGGATTACAGGAATCAAAATCCTGTGTGCTAACCATTACACTACACGACCTGCCTGAAGCACCTGGATTCTGCCATGAGATTGATACTGAAATGCTAAGCCTGTAGCTTCACGGTTCTACTGCCTTTCCCAGTCCAAGGATGAGTTTGTACACACCAAAATCCTCAAGCTGTTGAAACAAGGAATGATCCACCCCAGCAAGTCTCCATGGGTATCCCCCATTGTGGTTGTACCCAAGAAGGGCAATAAACTCTGCATGTGTGTCAATTACATCCCTCTGAATAAGGTGACAATCTCTGACCATTACCCCCTGTCCCGCATCTCCAATATCTTGGCCTCCTTTGGTGGTTCACAGTGGTTCTCAAATATTGACCTTTTTAGTGGGTTCCACCAGATCCTTGTAGAAGAGGCTGACCAACCAAAGACCTCCTTTATCACAAAATGGGGACAGTATGAAGACATCTGCATGCCTTTTGGGTTGAAAGGCACCCCTGTACTTTCCAGAACATTATGAATGGGGTTTTTGAAGGTCTTATTGGTGATTTTGTCACTGTTTATTTAGACCATATAACCATCTATTCCAAGACATTTGATGAGCACCTGCAACACCTGAAGCTATGCCTGGACCATATCAAGAGTGCCAACTTGAGTGGGAATGCCAAGAAGTCTATCCTGGCTGTTCAGCAATTGTGACTTCTGGGACACATGGTCGACGCCTTTGGGAAACACCCTGATCCTGACAAATGTGATGAAATCTCAAACTGGCCCACCCCCACCAATGCTAACCAGGTGGCATCCTTCCTTGGGTTAGTAGGGCACTACCACCAGTTTATTGAAAACTATAATTAGTTGGCTGCCCCTCTCTTCAATCTGACACACAAGAAGAAGCCATTCAAGTGGGCCCCCCTGAAGATGATGCTTTCAAGGCTCTTAATGCTGCCATTATTTCTGATGCAGTCCTTGCTTACCCTGATTTTAACCGCAAGTTCCACATCTTTTCAGATGCCTGCACCAATGTGGTAGGCGCAGTACTCTGCCAGGAAATAAACAATGTTTTTAGACCCATTGAGTTTATGTCTAAAAAGGTTATACCTGCTGAGTACAACTATGCTATATATGACAAAGAGGTCCTAGCTGTAATCAAGGCTCTTGAGAAGTTCCACTATTATGTGCATGGTCACCCTCTGGTCATTCATACTGATAACTGGGCTGTCAAGTTCATCACCAATACATCTATCCCTTGCAGTTGCCGCATGCACTGGCTCTTGGAAATTATGGAGTATGACTTTGAGATTGTGCATATTCCTGGGAAGCTGAACTCTGTATCAGATGGTCTGTCCCGCCAGTTCTGTTTGTTGGTTGAAAAATTGACATATGAACCCTCTCTGGCCCAGTTCAAAGACATGGCCCAGCTGCACACATCACTTGTCACTGAAGCTGACCTACTCAAGTTCTTTGTCTACTCTCAAGTACACTGTGATAGGCAACACATTGTTTAAAAAGACAGATAATGGGCTCTGGGTGATCCCACCCAAGGAGAACAAAGAGAATATCTTGATGGAAGCACACAATGGCACTGGACACTTAGGCTGGGATGCTACCCTAGCGCGCCTCAAAGAGACCTACTGGTGGCCAGGGATGTATACAGATACCTATAACCACATCAACAGCTGCATGAATTGACAACAGTTCAGTAAGAAGATTGTGCACACCAAGCCTGTGGAACCTATTGTGATTGACAAGATATTTGAACTTTGGGGTATTGACTTTTTTGGGCCCCTACCTCCTTCAAAATCTGGAAAAACTTACATCCTGGTTGCTACCGGGTACCTCTCTCATTGGCCTGTTGCTCAGGCTTGCAACAATAACTCAGCCATGACTGCAGCTTCCTTCATCTACACCAGCATTGTGACCCAGTTTGGCCCTCCAGCTACATTGTTATCTGATCAAGGATTCCACTTCAGAAATCACATGGTAGCTGATCTGACAAATAAGGTGAACACTGTCCACAAGTTTTCCACTGCATACAACCCTTGTTGTAATGGCATCACTGAGAGATTCAGCCGCACATTGATAGAATGCCTTGAGAAAATCACCAAGTTCCAGCCATCTACTTGGGAAGTCATGTTACCCTCAGTCCTCTGGAACTATTGTACTAAGGTCCACAACACTACTAAGATGACACCATTTGAAGCCATGTTTGGAACTAAACCCAACCAAGCCCGTATCCTCAAGAAGGTGAACCAACACTGGGGCTAAAAAGACTGCAAGCAAATCCGCCACCAAGCCAAGAAGAACCTATCTGCTACTGCCACTAAGATTACAGCAGACCAGCAGGGGATCAACCATTGTGTACCCAAATTCAAGATTGGCCAACAAGTCTTGAAATTCAATAGTGCTTTGAATACCACCCGCTCTAAAAAGTTCAAAGTTAAATGGAAGGGTCCTTACACCATTTACGCCATTGGACAACATCACAGCTACTTCCTTGATAACTCTGCGGATTTCCAACACCCCCTTACTGTCAACAGCAGCCGCTTGAAGGCATACCAAGCTTAGAATGAAAGAGGAAGTGTTGCGGTGAACGCATTTGAACAACCGTTATTCAAAATCTGCAAATCCCCAAATTTCCCTTTAAATAGTTAAATTACACAAATAAAGTTTCATCTCTTGGTTGATTAATTATTACCAATTTTACATATGTGTTGTTCACCACAACACTGCACCAAATATTTGATTTTTAGATTTGGCCAGCAAGGCCAGAAAATCTTTACAACCCACTTGGAAATCTTGAATGCTGTCTTGGAATACTAATAAAATATTGTTTCCTTTAGAAAAACAACTTGTAAATCTCTCCACCGCTTCTAATAAACTATATGCTTCTCCTAAATCTTGAGCATTTTAAGTTTCACACTTCAAGTGAAGGGCACACTGTTTTCTTGACTCATCTTTTTTTGCCATGTTGTTATTATGAGAGAAGGAGGATAAACTAAGTTCAACTCCCATCCTGGGGAAACAAACCACCAGAATGCTATCCAGTAGACAACTGAGATAGCCACTTAAAAAGGGGACCAGAGAGAAGATGTTCAGACCCATCAGGGCCATCCCAGATAGTAATCAAGGGGTACAAGAACCAGGGATGAGATTCTTCTGGGTGTATTTTTTCAGCTTCCTGGGTTGGCATTAGAGGCTGAGTGATCACAGAAATCATGAGAGAGATTGGGGCTACAGAGGTCATGGCAGAGAGGTTTGCATGAGAGAGATCCCCAAAAGTGAGGGCACACACCAAATGACCCCCCAAGTTAAGGAGCTTTGGGCGTGAGATGAAGATTTCTCAACTCATTCACCATGTTATAAGGATCTGAAGTCAGGATAAGAACCTGTGATAAAAAGCCATCCCACAATTTGGGAGGTGACAATCCACACAATTAATAAGGCCATGAGGATTAACAACACTACAAATTTGACCTGTGGGAGCAGCATATTTGGAATTCTTGTCAAATTTAACCTGAGAGAGGTTCTGTGACAGACGGTATGAGCAAGAGAAACAACTAATAACAGAGGCGCCTTTAATTGATTTCTGGGAGGCCATAATTTAAAAGGGAACCACTACTAGAAACATGATTTAAAAGACCTTAAATGCAAGAGAAAGCAGTTTTGAAGTTGGGGACAAGTTAGGGACAATTTGTGCAAGTTTTATATTAGGTTTTATACTAATATTTGACTTTAACTTTAAAAAGCTTTACACTAATCATCTTTGAGTTGATTCCAAGTTTAAACTTAAAGTTATACTATTATTTATATTAGTTTTTAAGTTTGAACTCAATGTTAAAGTTCAAAAAAGAGAAGCTAAAGCAAATGACACTAATAAAGCCTTTAGGACATTAGGAGAGGCCAGGGAAACTAAGAGAAGGGGTTTAAAGCACAGGATACTAAATGCCAGGATACCAGGAGTACTGTGATGCTCCTGCAGGTGAGACAGAAGTAGAGTCAGGTGCCGGCATGGCCCACCAGATGATGGGACCTAACTTTACCAAGTAGGAAAGGGCCTTCCCAGCCACAGCCCAGGGTCCAACTGCGGGCAAGGCAGAATTAATCAATCCTGTGAGTGCCAGGTATAACACTCCCAGGAATTGACTACTCTGGCCAGCGGCATTGGAAGTGGGTGGGGTTGAGATAATTGGTTTGGGTGTTGGGGGTTTTTCCATTGAGATAAAGTAGGCAGCAGGGTTGTTGTATTTCCTGTTGAAGGTCAAATGGTATATAGCAATTTCTCTACTGTCACAGACAATTTGATAGGGTGTCCTTGTCCATGTCCCTATGGAAGCTTTGGGGAGATCCAAGAGTGAGCATTGGATGGCATGGATATGCTCAGGGGTGTCACCAAGGCAGTTGCTCAGGGAAGCAGCTGCAGAACTTGGTGCAATCAGGCCTCTGGGAATTAAAGCTGATTACTTTGCGGCTGAAAGCTCAGACTTAATCACCTGGGTGAGTAAAGAAAACAGCATAGCCTTTATTGATCTATGGTTGGATGTCCTAAGTGGTTGCCACTTGCAAGGGACCAGTCAAACGCCAGTAACAATATAGACTCATGCCTGGGTCTACAGGTTTTGGTAACAGGGACTGACAATGGAACCATGGTGGTTTATAGTGTAATATCAACAGCAAAGACTATTAAGACGGACCGTATGATTGCAGTGAAGAATAGTTGAGGGACTGTTGGATCATGTTGAAGTTTTGAACCAAGGTGGTTCATAGTGATGACTAGCAAAAGGGCTAAAAGATCATGATGCAGTATTAGCTAAAGGACTAGAAGATCATGATGTAGGATTAGCTGGAGGACTAGAAGATCATGATGCAGGATTAGTTGATGGACTAGCTGATGAATAGAGAAGAACTAGCTGAAGAACTAGAAGATCATGGTGCAGGACTAGCTGAGGAACTGAAAGTTAGCTAAGAAGGACTAGCATAAGTGGATGTAGGAGCTAGGATGATTGTTTTGGACTCTTGGAAATATAGATTTTTATAAGAAAGAAGCAGTAAAAGAATTA